GGGAACTCCAAGGCGTTCCCAGGCCAGCCGAGAGACATAGTCCCTCCAGCGTGTCCTGGGTNCAGTCAGGAATAACTGAAGTAGAGCCATGTCAGAGGTCTGCTTGTTTATCAATCAAACTTTACTTATAAAGTGTTATAACATCAGCCACTGCTGAAACAAAGTGCTGAACACATAAAATAAAAACTGAAAACAAAAACAAAAACACAATAAAATCACACAGTTAAATAAGTAAATTCAGCACCAATACAGTAAAAGTTGAGTAAAATCAAATTTAGTTTATTCTTGATTTTATACAAATCAAGTTTATTTACTGTATCAAAAAAAAAAATCCAAGTGTGTTTGTGCGTTTATGTATAATATAATTTGTGTGTTTGTGTAATATCAGTAAATATCATTTATCGGCCATAACAGCAATAATTATATCGGATATCGATATCGGCTGAAAATTTCATATCCCTGCATCCCTATTTGTAGTTTATTATGTATTTTTAGCATTTTTTATGGTTTTGTGATTTTTGTTGATTACTGTACACACTTTGGTGCAGCCTTTAGCTGTTTTAAAAGCGCTTTATAAATAAAACTGACACTGACACAAGGCTGAAACATTAAAAAAAGAAAACAGTGTTCCTTCTCATCGTTTCTCAAACAGTTTGTCATCAGTGACAAACACACAAAATGCCCAGAAGTTTGGTTTAGATTCGCTCTCCGAGCTATAAAGATGCTGATAGAAACACAAATGCACAGGCAAACACACACACGATGTGTGTGAACTACAGAAGTAAAGGTAAAACTCCTCAGCTTGTCATGTAAATATCCGGTACTGTGAAACACCCCCACCCCAACCCCACCCCCAGTAGCACTTCTGCCTCAGCCAGCTCACAGCAGGGTCTATAATTAGACAGAGAGCTCCACTCCCCTCCAGTCATCTTTTACTGCCGGCCACATCCTCTTTTTGTGTGTGTGTGTTCAACTCTTTCCTTCTTACCCTTCCACTCTTCCTCTCTGGGTTTCTGAAACTCTGTTCAGCATCAGACTGGTTCCGTTCAGACAGCTGTGGCACCTTACCTGATGAGGAGCGGCGGTGCCTGCAGGGCATCTGCAGGCCCGGGGCTGAACGTTGGCCCTAATGACGCGCGCTGCGCTGCTTTTACTGCGGCATTGGATTCAATTCATGTCGGAAATGGAGCGCGACAAATAAACAATGTAGTGGAGTCGCAGCGCTGCTTTGTAACTGCGGCGATAAATATCTATACCTGTAGAAGGTTTCAGATGTTAACAACATAAAAGCTTCTCTTATTCAACATGTCATCCCAGCCTCTTTTCAGTAGATGATCTTTAAAGTCCATCCTTTTAACAACAGGAACGGCAACCATGGTGACAGGGGGCGGTCCGGCCGACAGGAAGTTGAGTCTATAAAAGCACAACAATGAGAGAACCAGGGCGGCTTCCTGTTTGAGAGCTTAGTTTAGACTCCCACGGCCTCCCTTCTCCTTTCCTCGTATTCGCGACGCTGCTGCCGTACAGTGCCGTTAAGCTCGGCTGCAGGAAAGTTTCTTATCAAGATAACTCGTAGAGAAAAACCGCCAGAGTCACCCCACACACACACATTACCCAATCTCTGCAACAACGCTGTCAGGATTACTGAAAAGCGAAAACGCTCTGACATCATTTAACGACTGATTAATGGCTAAACGAGGCCTAAAGGCAACGCACTAATGCGAAGAACACACACTTACGAATGGGAACATGGAAAACTACTCAGTAAGCTATTGACAAACCATTTTAAAGTTGTGCTTTATTTATTCCAGATGCAAATGGGATGAATTTGGCCTAAAAACACGTCTTTTGTACTTAGTTAAAAATGCTGTTTCACCGTCTTTCATAACATACAATTACAAGAATGTGTCAGCTCTCTGGGACCTTATCTCACATGACTTCAAGGAAAGAAAAAAATAGGATGAGTAATTTCCTTAAATAAAMAACTTTTTTTGGAAAATTTTCTTTATATGAAAACAGGAACAGATGATCGTATGCACACACACCACAGAGCTAAATGCTAAACGCATTAGAATATTTTTAGCAGTCAATAAAAGTAACAGGTGATCTCAGCTGCTTGTTTTCATACTTTAGTTTTAGGGAAGTGTTGTGGTTTGATATTTCTGCAGAAACCATGTCTGCAAAATCTAGTCCTTTTTTTAAATAAYGCTGTCTGTTCAGTCATGCAACTTTAACACCGTCTAAGTAAAAACTGATTTTCTTTTGTTTGAAGAAAAGATGTTTAAAAAATGCTCATCGTTTCTCCCAAGGAATAATCAGATACTTACAGTTCAGAGCAATTAATAAGTAGAGTGTGTGTTTTATTGTTTGCAAWATGCTAAAGTGATTCATGAATTTGTGTAAAAGGCTTTAGGATGCATTCAAGGGAGGAAAAAATCCACACAGTTGCTACATCAGCCTTGTGCAACACAGGATCTCTATGAATAGTCTAATACTGACAGTTAGGATCACATGTTCTTTACTCTGACTTTCTGCGCTCTCAGTCCCTCAAAAGCGCTCATACTGCCAGTAAATCCCTCTTCAGTCAATCCTAATCCTGAGATAAAGTTTTTAAATAAGCTATACTGAACGGAATCGCACCATTTTACAAAGAAAAGCAAAGATTTCTAKTAGAAATGAAGGCAAAAGAGAATTGAAAAATTAAGATGAAGTTGTGGCCATTTTGGTGCAACCATGAAAAGGACAACATGAGGAAACTCTCACAAAGATGTGTTATAACTCAGAGACAGGGCTGGGTACCGAATTTGATACTTTTTTAAGTACAGACCGAATTATGTCGGTACCACCGAGAAACTATTCACGTAACAAACGGTACCATGTTTAGGTACCTAAACACATCATTGTGACCGTATTGGCGTAAGAGTGGTGAGTTTTCCATGCCTGTCCTGAATGCAGCATTGCGCAAGAACGTAATGACGTCAGCAGCCGCTGCTTCAGTAAACAAAGCTCAGTCTGAACGTAGCTTGAAAGCCTCGCAGCTCCTAAACTCGTCGAACAGACCGCCACTGAATTATCTGCTGGATTAATTATCTTGTGAGCATGACGTTCGCTTGCTCAAAGTAAATAAAATACCGCCACTTTCTTTAATTCATCCGCCATTAAACAGAGACCGGCAGAGGAAAACAACAGAGGAGCTTCCTGACAGTCCGAACACATCTGACCCGAAGGAGCACAAGCAGCCAGCTTGAAGTGTTGGACGCGTTTTGGATGCTCAATTCGTAGCTTGAATATCTTTTATTTATTTTAACTCCATCCTCTTTTGCTTATTTGATTTAAATTTATTTGCCTTCCATGGACCTCCATCACACAGTTTTCCTAGTGGGGAAATGACATCAATAGAAATACATGGAGCTGGATTTTAATTTGTGCAATAAGACAAAACAGTCTTGTTGGTTTCAACAGTTTTCACWTTAAAGAAATAAGTTACACAACTGATGTTACAATACAAAGAGTTGGATGTTGTCTTGATATTTGTTAATTTTATATATTGAGAAATATGTTAAAAAAAGTTTATTATTAAAAAAAACACTCACAAAGTACCGAAAATTGTTACCGCTAAGTACCATTCCCAGGTACCGGATATTGGTACCAAATCGATTCAAATGTCAAAGGTGACAATCCCTACTGAGACAACATGTTAAAACTGAAATTAGCTAATACCAAACCAATACTTTAACTCAGTAGCTGTGGAATTGACTGTGACGTCACCATTTTAAGGTTGAATACAGTTAATTGGCTGAGGTAGCCATCTTGAATTCATTCCAAATCTTAATAAGTTTTAGGTGTTTCACTAAAGTCTGTCAAGTGGTTCATGAGATATTTTACCAACAAACAGAGCTGACTAACAGTTAAYGGGAAAGCACTAACTCGTGTCTTTCTCTTCCTCCTTCATCCTGAGGAATCCACAGCTGTCACTTCCATTCAAACCCCTTTTCTTCTGATCGCAGCTGGTTGGACTGCAGTCAGCGGATCTGCCTGCCTACAACTGTCACCACCCTATTTCTGTATATACAGTCTCACCCCGCTGGTACATACTCGAGTGTGGGACTGTCAACAAGTTTAAGAACTACTTTGCGTGTCTGTGTGTGTGTGTTTGTGTGTACACTCGTGAGTGTGTGTTGCAGGAACAGACAGATGAGGACGATCCCCTTAAGTGAAAACACAACACGGTGTTAAGTTAGGACACGAGGACCATAAATCATCCAAGTGTTTCTGGATCATATCTGGCTCCAAGTCTGTGTGTAAGGCTGTTTTTTTTTTCATGATCAAGAAATGACTGACTTTATGCTCTCAAAACACAGAAAGAAAATAATTAACTTTCTTCAAAAGCATCTAATACGTCAAGATTTTAAAAAAATCGATACGCATACATGTCAAATTGTACGTATTTAGGGTGTCTCGATCCGATATCAATATCGGTCCGATATTAGTCAAAAAATGAATATCTGATTATATCGGCCTGCATCTAAAATCTCCAATACAAGCCCTCCTTTTGATTTATTTTATTTAATTGTAAAATATTCTTAGGTTTAAGTCAAAAATGTWTGTAACCCATTGGTTAATAATAAACGAGTCAGTTTGTCTCATACCTACTGTTGTTGACTATTGTTCAGTGTTTGTCTTGATCAAGACTTTTTGAGATTCCACACTATAAAATTAATAAAGTGCAGATTGATTATGCACTTGATTGAGAACAGTCGGCTATACAGTAACTTTTGGTAATGGTATCTTGTACAACACGGAAACCTTTGCAAAAAAAATTACGCAAATAAAGATGACTCAATGAAATTTGAGTACAACAGATCAGAAAGGCCAGCCCTCTTTGGACCTCTATAACTGAGACATACTTCACTGTAAAAATAAAAGTCTAAATTTGGGTAAGATGCAGGAAGAAATGCTGCAATGACAGCAAAAGGTGTTATGATTTATTGTTGATTTACCTTGTTTTAGTGCCTGACGTCAAGACAAACGATGATTCTGGGTAACAATCTTCTTGTATCTGAGGAAGCAAAACAAATTGTTTAGAAAAATCACTCACGCAAAAGACGTACAAATGTGAAGAAAATTTCATCCAAATTCGAAAACAATTTCAAAACAGACACAATAAAACTGTATGTTCACAAGTTACAAAAGATTTAACAAAAAATGTAGACTGTGATKTAGATCTTGATTTTAAAAAACTTTGTAAATTTCCCTGCTTCCTAATCTATTGTTGATTTACGACAGCCGCAAGAAAGTGAAAACAACAAAAAAAATCCCTCAGCGTAAGTAATTACATCCTGTTCTGCTACATCCCAGGTGCGTTAGGGTTCCACCAGGTGAAATATGTCGTTAAGAGATGTATTTGAATAACACAAACACACCCACACACACACACACACACACACACACACACAGGTTAAACGCATTCACATTCACTCAATGTTGCCAACATGATTTATTGTAATGATTTGAAAACAAACTGAAATACTGTCTTATCTGAGCGAAACAGTGAAGAAGGTTTCAAAATAATGGGTTTACACTGACTTTACAACAGATTAAATTAGGAGCCTGTTCCAAAACAAACAAAAAAAGGGTTTATTAAGTGTCAACTGTTTTAAATTTYCTGAGAGAAGGTTGCATTCTGCAGTGATTTGACCGCACGTGTGTGATTTAGCTGAGCAACGCTCAGGTAAACTGAAACTAACAATGACGAGTGAGTCAGGTCAAAACAGCAGATTCAAATCTGTGCCACTGAATCAAAAACAAACTAGTTTAATARACTAACAGGCAACAGCATTCTGACAAACCAAAGTCTTTTTCTAGGGATGCACAGAAGTGAAAATTTCAGCCAATATCGATATCCAATCAATTATTGGTGTCATGGCCGATAACCGATATTTACCAATATTACACACAACACACAAATTATTTATATACGTATACGCATAATTACACTCGTGTCAACCAGACCGCTGACATGGTTTACTCCTTCAGTTATTCCTGACTGTGCAACGTCAATATAACTATAAAGATCAAACAAGTACCACTCAACCAAACATTTCCCCTCCCAAAACACAAACACAAAGCTAAAAAGTGGGAAATCATTATTGGACGTTAATATCAGCCCAGTTTTACTTATCAGACCAATATTAATATCCAATATTCTAAAAAATGACTAGCATTGGCCGACACCGATGTTATTACCGATATTTCGTGGGTCCCTAGTTTTTTCCCCTAAAGATTTTTGCTTGTTTGTTTCTAACCCTATAGCCCCATCTCCATGAGCTCRGTTCTACTCTATTCACCTCGGGTAGGGTCGGTTTTGCCCACTGTGTGCGTGTCTCCACTTTGTGTGTCCCTTACTCCAGGGGYTCTCAAGCCATTTGGGTCTGGGGACCCCTTACAAGGACAAAAGAAATTCCAGGGACACCCTCATAAACCCCACGCTGTTTTAAAAGATAATTTATTACCATTTCAACCCCTAAATGCCATGGGAATATATTTTTTATTAATTTTATTTGGTTTGTTTTATTAGTTCATTGTTCTCCATGCATTTTTAAAAATAAAAACCAAATTAACTTTTTAATAAAAATTTTTGAGGACCCCCAAGATACCTCTCGCGGACCCCTAGGGGTCCAGGGACCCCAGTTTGAGAACCTCTGCCTTACTCTATGGGTGTGATTATAGGCAGACCATCCGCAGAAGCTTCAACTGTTGTGCTAAAAATAAGCCATTATGGTCTTACGGTTCAGACTTTACTTTTTACTTATTTGTTGCGCTGTTGTTTATAAGTGCTTGTGTAATTGTGGGCGGCCAATTTGTTCGAAACCTCCTGGWTATCTGCTCAGCTTCATCTCCTTCACCTCTCTCCAGGAAGTGTTTACTAGTGATGGGATGAATGGCTCTCTGAAGGGATCCGGATCTCGGGGAGCCGTTTGTTTCATAGAGCTGTTCAAAAGAGCATACATGTCAAATTGTACGGATTGTCCGTATTTTGCAGGTATATGGACGTATAGAGCAATCTCTAATCTACAGATTTTTAGCAAAATTTATGGATTTTTGAGGCTTTTTATACAGGTAAATGTCCAAAGAGTTGACATGTATGAAAGAGCCGTTCGATTTTGAACGTATTACGTCATCACATAGCCGTACGTAATGACGTCATCCAGTCACGTGGGTGGAACCATGTGTTTGTCAAGCCCCCCCCCCGTGAGCTTCTGTACTCCACAACTCCGCCTGTTTTCCGTGAAAAAGCAAAGCGGGAGCGATTTAAATATGAAAAAATGATTATACCTGTATGAGAAATAAAAGAAATAAAACTACAAATGGCTCATTAGTGCCCGCGATTTGGCTCCTATCATTCGTTGTAAAGAGCCGTTCAAAAGATACGGATCGTTCGCGAACGTCGCGTCTCTAGTGCTTACAAGTTGTGCTTTTCTCAAGATCGCCAAAAAGATTAGATGGTTTTACACTGCTTTCACCATGTTGTATTGTGCCACGCGCTTGTATTCCAGAACAAAAGCATCTCTTTCCAGGAGGAAGTTTGCACAAGTAACGCCTTCCCTCTGTCAATCAATCCCAGAGGTAATCCACGGGCAGAATTAATCAAAATCATAAGCATTTCTTGCCTAAGCCTGATTAAACATTGATAAAAACTACATTAAAAGGCTTGGAAGTTTCAGAGGCATTAATAAGTAACATTCCATAAAGGGATGTATACTGCCCCACCACCTTCCAGAGAAAGGTTTTAAACAAATGTTTCACATGATTTGTTACCACTCGAAGTATGGGATGACTGGACGGCAGAGACCTGATCAACCGTTTTTGAGACTAGTTGTGATGTAGGAATCGAAGAGGCCCCACCAGATGATTTCAGGCAGCGAGCTGCTACACGAGAGGTTAAAAGGTCAGGTAAACAGTCAGGGGCTGGACTATTTCAGGCTTAAAAAAACAAGCAATAAAATTCTAAAATAAGGCTCAGAGGCAGCAAGTGAAAGGCAGAGAGAAACGTTGTTAAAAAGCCCGGCAGCAGCTTTCTGTGGATGATTTCTGTTTATTTTCCCTGCTGATAGCAGAATAAAGAGCACTGTGGCAGTCGAGCCTGGATGAGATAAAAGCTCTGATGACCTTCTGTTGATCGGCAGGGAAGAGGAAAAGCAGGATCTTAAAAAGGTGCTTCTGTTAACCAAAACAAAACTGCCACGCTTTGATTATTTCTAAAGTTAATGAACAACTGACTTTATGGCAAACCTTTGTTTATCTTTATACTTCCTCAATAGAACAAGGATAAACACAGTTTATTTGAATCTAGCTCTTTTTTTAAACAACACTTTAAGTTCCTCACTATGTTGGGTTTTAAAAATGATCCGACATATTCCACTTGAAAAGGTTACTTTATAGTGATAAATATCACTATTAAAGAGCTAAAGACGAAAGTGTTAACTTAAGTCCTGCCGAGCATCTGTCATGCTTCTGTCTTTTTTWTTACTTTCTCTCACCCACTTTTGCTCACTTTCACATCAAACACATTCTCCACATTTCAAAAATAAAACAGACCGAGGCACTCAACGGCAGCTCACTCGAAAGGATCTCCCTCTTTATCTGTTCGCACAGATCTCAGTGCTTCTTATCATTCCAGACCACAAACAAAAAACCTGGAATACCCATCACTTAAACAAAGGCAGATCAGACAAAAAGATTAAAAAAAAAAACCTAATCCAAACGAACATCTACTTCAAACTATTCCCACAGGCACTTTGCAACGCTGAAAGGGAAATTGCTTCACAAAAACCTAAATAATCTTGCAGGTTGTCAGAGGGGAAAACTGAGCATCATGAAAACAATGGTYAAAGACACTCTGGCATCCTGTGTAGAAAAAAAGGATGTAGAGGAAAGACTTTAAAAAACAACAATCTGCAGCAAAGGTTTTACTGCTGATAAGAGTGACAGAAGGTATCTGCTCATCCTACGTTTCTCTGGAGGCAGGACACTGGTCTCATTCAAAGGCCCTGATTATACACGAACAATCACTGGAAATGTTAGTGTATTTCCATTGTTGATTGTGGCGAATCAACATGAAATTTAAAAATAAAAACATGTTTACATAGGTTATGCTGTGCTTCTTTTAATGCCAAGTCACTTTCTGGAGCTGTGATTTTCAGATTTTAACAAACATGAAAACAGTAACCGTGTTTCCATCAACAATTTTTATGTGCATTTTGAAGTATCGCATTAGAAAAGGTGAATGGAAACGGCAAAATTTGCAACAACGTCCTCAGTTTCGCAAAAAAACGTTTTTGCGCTCGCTTGAGGTGGTTTTTGGATTTTTTGAAAGTAGTTAAATGCGCAAAAGGGGAAACGAAAACAAAGTGGCCGAATAAGTTCTGATGTAGTGAACATTTACCTCAATCAGCTGTTCCTGCTGTACAATAAATGTCACAACTGCAGCTGGACCCTCCTCCCGCTGTCGACCTGTTCACGTATATTCCCGCAATGTGAAGAGAATTGCATTTCCTTTTCTACGTCTCCACACAGCTGTAACATCACCAACACTAGTTGRTGTAACAGAATATTTACGATTTTCCCGAAAGTAACACGTTCCTGATAACTTTCTCCATTGTCCTGAGATGTGTACACCTTTACTTTACTTCCTGTTTACTACAGCCACRTGTAACGTCATTGTCYGATGTAATTACACTTTGCGTAGCCTGGTTGATTCGTTCCAGGCCAGTTGCGCATTTCTTCTTTTGCAACATCTTAAAATTTCGCTCAAAATACGCATTAAAATTGGATGGAAACATGGTTAGTTACACCAATTACTGTTCTAAAAACCTCCACAAAATCGTGGATTCAAAAAGCTTTGGTTTCAGAGAAAACAAGCGCTGCCGCGTGTACATGACTGGACAAAACAAAGTAGAAAATCTCCAGCTTCAGTCAAAAGGGGCGTTATGTAAAGTGGATCTAATTGGAGCATTTGTAACTTACTTTCCCTTTAAAGGGGACATWTCAAGGAAAATC